TGGAAGGAAGTTTCCAAAGTCTAAAGACTTCAGTGAAATGATACAAAGCAAGTTTTATATAATTGCTTTAATGACTCATTTTTCTCACTCATTTCTTTCTGTATAAGGATTCAGTTCAAGAAACTTTGAGTAAGACAGTTCTGCCACGTCCCAAGTGTAGCAGGGATTCCTCACAGTTTTTGATGCAAACAGAAACTAGCAATTCACCTCAGAAATAGCAAGAAAAGGCTATTCGTGGGCTGATGCTCTACGCAATGATGACCTTGGCTGGGGCTACCCAAACAAAATGGTCCTAAGCTCCTGAAACTGATGCAATTGTGGTAAACAGAGTCAGTGCCAACAGGGCAAAGTTTCAGGGATCTCCTGGCATAGAAAACATAGCTAGGCTGCAGTGCCGTCCTCATAAACTATATTTTCTGAAGACAGTCTGGCGAACATTTGGCACCTTTTGGTTTGACAACCCAGTTCTGTGTGTCAGTGTGGTTTTCCACAAATACTACATTTTTTCCTCAGTGGTATATGTAGTCATTTAAAATTAATTACAGTGAACAGTAATTGATAACAGGGATTGGTTGCTTGACACTTTTACATAGTTCTGGCTAATGTGGGAAACATGGGGGTAGATTTTTATTATGAAATTGTTGAAAAGTATTTTCTGGGAAATGTCAAGATAATTTGGAATGGAAAGGTTGCTATGTTAGGCTGTGTGTTGACACCATATAAAAAGCTCCGCTTTTTTCCCCTCACAGTGACAATAATATTCCACAGACTAACATCATTATAGATAAGGAGAGAACACATTTCTGTGTGCTCTATGTGTAATTTCTCTAATCCATGTTCTGTAGTGATAGTATGTATGTATGGTGTATGTGCTTCCAGTATAACAGACGGATACCTTCCATTGAAACAAATTATGTTCAGTGGATGGAAAACTAATGTATTTGTGTGCGTGTGTGTTTGTGTGTGAGAGAGAGACAGAGACAGAGAGAGAAAGAACTATTATATTTTATTTAAAAATCAGTTTTAATGCAATTGATAAAAAGCTAAATGTACCCTTTATACTCATGTACATTGACCCAGGAGTAGCAGCAATGGAAGATTTGGGGGCCAAAATTATAGAATTTGCTATGACCAATAGATAAATTAAGGGTCATTCTCTGAAGAGGGAAAAGCATCAACACAGCCTCAGGGGGAGCAACCCCGCAAGCAAATTCTAAATGTAACCCACAACATATCCTGCCCCTTTCCTGTCTGAGACCATTGCACAAGCTTTCCCCACCCCACCCCCACACATGTATATAGATATATATGTATACAGACACTTACGTTCTTAATATATACCAGAGGCAAAAGAATAGGGGTTGCTTCCAATTTCCCATGGTCTTGCGTGCAGTTTCTGTCCAGCATATGGATGGGGGAAAGATGGAAGGCAGCGGAGAGTTTTGGGCGTGGGGGAAGGAGAGAGATGAGAAAATGGGGTGCAAATTTGGGGCATAAAGAAAAGATGAAGAMGGCCTCAGAAGTAAAGGTGCTGCAGCTTTTCCCCTTAGCATTTGTGGTGCTGTGTGGACACTGCCAATTTGTCTGCCAACCCACGAAGTAAAACGCAAGAATAACGACACAACAACAGCAATTGGATTCAAATTGGGCAACTTTTATTTAACGTTACCTATTTAATTTCCTTAACCTAACTCAAGGGTGTAAGGAACTGGTGAAACCTAACCCAGGTAGTAYCACTACCCGATAACMACAATTTCCGGGCGAAGCACCTGGGTTTCGGTAAACAAACCGTATTACCCACRAGGGAAAGGAATAAGGAGTCTCTTCCAGAGCTCTTGTATCGAGACTCCTTCCAATTAAARGCCATTAACCTACCCCTCACCCAAMMTCYATAGGTGAGTGTATTAACTTACCGGCCTTTCACCCCTTAAAGGGGTGCCCTTGGTGCACACCGACTAAAGGAATTACCCTATCTATTTACGCCTGGCCTATTTAGAGAATAGCCCACTTCTCCATCTAGCCCCTAAACAGTATAGGGTAGGCAAAAAACCGCCCCTAAAAACAAGAAGAGGAAAAAATTCCTACCCGGCTCCGCAGGCAACCGCAAATTATACTGTTAATGGGCGGGAGTGGTGGGCAACTTCCAGGCTCGGAATGAGCCTGGGCGGGGGCCTAGCCTGTATTTTCAGGCCACGCCCCCGGCGTTCTGGAGAGTTCTCTAGAACTCTTCCTTGCCTCGTGGGAGGCAGACAAATCCTGTTTCCTCTCCCCATTTCATGGGGAGGTGAAATCCATTTTATATCAAACTGTTTTCATCATAACATAAATTAACATTCGTATTCTACTGTAATTTCAGATGGAAAACATGTTCAGGTTCAACATAATGGAGGGATAATAATGCTTCTCTCTGAATGATTTGTCCTTTATTCTTTTCTTTTTTGAATGGGATGTGGCTTTCCCTATAAACCCAGGATGAGGAATTTCTAGACCTCTGGATATTGGACTAAGCTACCATTCCTGGTGACTGGCATAATGAGGGAGACCGTTGAGAACTGGAATTCAACAGCATGGTAACCCATAGATTCCTGTCTCCAGTTTTAAATAAAACTGAAGAGGTCTAAGGTTCCAGTCAGAAAGGGTGGCAATATAATGGTTGATGATGGAGAAACTGAGCAGAGATACAGTGACATGTATGTGCCTGGGAAGACTTTGAAAGAAGTTCTTCAGAATAAGTTTCCACTTTCAGACAAGAATGGTTCTATCTCATGTGTGTGTGTGTGGGGGGGGGGGGGGGGGGTCATATTACCATGATGTTGTTTAGTTCTGTAGGACAGCAGTTCTCAAAGTGTGCCCTTGGGGCTCTGCAAAGCATACTGAGGGGCTCTGTGGTTTTCTCTCCCCCTTCCAAGATTTACTTCCTCTTTTCTGCTCCTCTCCCTCCCCTCTCACTGCCAAAAGACTTTTCCCCTTGGTTTTTTCCCTTCCCAGATCCTTTCCCCCTCATCATCCTTGCTTCCAAAACCCTATTTCCCTCTCACCGCTCAGGAGGTGCTTTGATTTTGCTTCTCCTACAAGGCAGAAGGGACTTGAACTAGATGGCCCCTGTGGTTTTTGCTATTATTATTATTATTATTATTATTATTATGGCTGTGTGGCCGTCTGTTATGGATATCTAGCCAAGCCGTGCACAAGCCTAATATGGGACCTCCCTAAATCCATTGATTGTTTTGTCTTTTTCTCCATTTATTATTTTTTTAATATTGTTGTTCAAGGGCAGTGACTTTTGAAATGACATCTGGTAATGGAATACATTCACACAGCTTTTATTCACTTTGTTTGGATTTCCCTCTTGCTGTTCTCCCAACTATGTGTTGGAAGAAACACATAACTGGAAAATAGATGGAAAACCGGCTGTTTTCTATCTCTCACCCAACAATTTTAGCATAATTTTAGAGGTTTAAAATTATATTTTAAAGATTTAATATATTAGTAATCATGTGGGTTATGTTATGTCTTGTTCATTTATGTTGGTTTATAATTTACTGAATAGTTCTTGATTTGTTATTGATTTGCTTATATAGTACCGTCGGGTTGAATGTTTGCCATTGTGTATTTTGTTGTGAGCTGTCCTGAGTCCCCTCTGTGATATAGGGTGGGCTGTAAATAAAGTTTCATTTCATTTCATTCATTGTCATTCACTTGAAGAGTAGGGAAGCTGTAAGGATTAGTAACAGCCCAGATGTCCAGAAGCTAAGGAATCAGGCAGTAGCTGGGAAATTCAAGACAGGGAGAGTGATTAATAACATAGTAGTCAGGATCCAGTTTCAAGTTTCCAGAGGAGGGCAGAGTCTCTGAACTCGTTGGGTGACTTTCACTTGAGGTGAGTCCTTTAAAAGAGCTGTAGCTATGGTGAGCACCTCCCAAACAGGATTATACTGGTATTGCCTGCCAACCCCCGAAATAACAAGATCACACACCGATATTTGGGTTTAAATATGGGCAACTTTTATTAATTGTTACCTATTGAACTTTTACTGGATCTAATTCTATGGATCCTGAACTTGGTGGCAAAGCCAAGGTAGTGTCCATCTCCGGCCTACCCCTCGGCTAGTTAGGGTGAGACACACGGGCCCCCAGGGAACCTAATCAGGGCAACCTCTAAGGGAAATGTGTCGGAGAAGTCCCTCCCAGGGTATCTGAAACCCGATTCTCCCCATTCCCAGGCCATTAGAATTCCCCTCACCTCATCAAATTGAACCTTAGGTGAGTGTTTTAGTTAATGGCCTTCATCCCTGAAGGAAAATTGTATGGATTATATTACTATCCTTATTTTCAGAAAGATCATTGGGAGGTATTCCTAAGTCAACCATATGGAAATGGATACATGTAAATAAATAAAATAAACAGGAGTAAGCAAATATATGGGTACTATACCATCTTTTGGTTGGTTGTTTTTATTATATGATGCTTTTGCCACCTTTTTCAGACATTCCTGCTTCTCCCTATGTCTATAACAATAACTTAGATTATTTTTGGTGGGAGCCATTTAAGGAATGCCAGACCTCATCAAGAAATAATTTTCAAAAATGGCTTTAAAAAATAGGAAAGGGCTTTCTGAGATATTGCAGCTAATATTGTTGAGGTAGAGGGCAGGAATGCAGGGAAGGGGGTGGCTACGAAGCGTACAAATGAGACATGGCTTTTTGACTTACTGGAACATGAATGAGGGCACACCAGAAATCATCAAGAAATAATTTCATAAGAGCAATAACCCTCTACCATGTGGTTTTTAAAACATAAGCAAGGCTGCAAGACTTGATATAGCTATCCATTGCATTAATAGCAAGCATTGCTTTGTCGTTATAAAAATCAGGAGCTGACTTATTTTCTTATGCTGAGCTAGCTTTATGCCAGCACATTGGTATAAGCCAATATCTCTTTGCTCCCTTTCACCCCCAGTGGGGGAAATGGTACACTCCAGGAGTGCCGAGCATAGAGGAAGTCATCTTTTCAAGTGGAAAGGGTTTGTTTGACAATGAACAGTTTGTTTGTCGAGGGAACAAGTCTGACCTGCTTGAAGCAATTAGTCCCTTGAATAGAAACATACAGAAAGGAACACAGCTTGACTGGGTGTCTTATCCATAGAGCAGTGTGAGTTTTATCTGTCTGCCTCCAGCTTTGCTGTGCCACTGGACACAGTTTTGAAAGGGTGTCCCACTTGTTTTGTTGTTTTCATTCTACCCAAGTTGGCGAGCAATCACACTGAAGCAATCTTGGCAAGTGTCCATTAACATTTGCCTTCCTTGTAGGGAAAGGGAGGAGTCCTCTCTGTTCTTCCGATAAGTATGGCTTTCCCCTGCTGCTGCTGCTCTTGGTTCTCAGTTGCTGGAGAAGAGGTAAGGAACTGATGATCATACTGTGATGGGGAAAGGGCAAACATTAAAAAACCTGAAGTTCATAGCACTTGTTAGCAAATACAAAGAGAAAAAGAAGAAACATAAGTTCAGAAAAATCAAATAAGGTACTTGGGAAATAGTCTTCTTAGGTAGATGTCCTTGTTCCTTGTGAAAATACTATCACTAGGAAGGCTGATAGAAAAATAGGTTCAGTAGCTTACTGAATGGTTTATGTGACAGGGTCAGGCTGTGCTTACTTTAGTACTTTTTGGTTCTTTCCTGTAATAGATCCTCATACTTGTGACAGTAACAGGAGGAGGAAAAACTTTGAACATTATTTTTCAAAATCAGTTTGGTGATGTTAAACATTAAAACATGGAAATTAATAATACAAAGATACTCCAGCATTCCTTTGCAATGCCTTGAATAATAATAGTTGATTTTTAAACGTTCTTTCAAGTTTTCATTACAGAACATGGCATATAGGTTGAAACTGTTTAACTTAGAGGATAGCAGATATTGCTACTGGCATATCAGATTTTGTTACTGGTATATTCACCTGGATTTTTTGTTCACGTGGACTATAAAGCTCACAATAGGAGTGTTGGCATGGAATGGTGGGAGCCCATTATATCTGGGTTCTGAATTGATGAAGGCTGCCCCAAAGCTCGGGATCTCATCTTACATCAGATCAGTTCAGTTTATCCATATCTTTTTTTTCTGCCATCCCCTGACAACACATATATTTCACTCCTGTGTTAAATTCCTTGTTTGTTTAAGGTTAATTAACAGGCAGTGATTTCAGTTAGTGGACACTGGTCTATCACAACTGTAATAGTTATAAAGATAGGTAAGATCATCAGTGAATCAAGAGAAGTCTTACTCTGAATGTTTTTCAGAGTCTCTGGGCAAGTGCAGAACATTTTTGTGGAAAGAGAATCACTGCATCTTTTTCGCTTTCCCATTCCTACTTCAGAAGTGTGAACAGCAAAGATCAGTGGTACAGTGAATATTATGCAGAACCCACTAATTCAAAATGCAATATGTTGAATCTTCTTAAATGATGAAATACCTAAAAAGCTTATTCTTCTCTACATTCTTCTCACCTTAAATGTACAATTAAAGAGATTGGATAAAAGAAGAAGGTTGTCAAAAACAGAATGGAAAGAGAGGAAGATGCCAAAAGAAAAAAAATGTTGAATGTGCTTGAGGAAAAATGTTTACCTAATTATCCAATTCTGTAGTACATCTAATCTAAACAGTACTGATGGATTATTTGAAGTTCAGCCTAATTAATCTATAAGAATGGTATATTATTTCGTATATTATATAGTAAAAAACAATAGAAACCAGTTGGGGATATAAATAACAGAGAAGAATAGACTCACAAAACACTCAGAAAAATTCCAAACACCTACGACTTCACCAGACGGGCAAAATTGCCTTTCTATGACACTTTGACTTCACTTGAGGCACAGAGCTTGTCGGTTCCAATCAGACAATGTCAATCTACTTCCATTGGGGCTCTATTCCTGAAGTGAAGTGGAAGTGTCGCAAGAGGCAGCAGTTACAAGAGGCATAGGAAGCAATGGGGAGAACCTAGGTGGTGATGCCCCCCCCCCTCGTAGGATGAGGTAAGGGGAAGGTGGTTGATGCAGGGTGCCGGGTTACCCATACCCCCAGCAGGACCACAATGCATGGTGAATCCCAGTCTTAATGTGATGAGGTCCATAAAGGCCCATAGAGTAAGGGGAAGCATCTTACTTTCAAATAAAAAAGTCTGTTTTAAAAGGATCTTGCAGCTTAAGGACCATCCTTTTCCAAAACACATATTTCTCTTCTTTCTCAAACTTAAATCTATTCCTCTACAAACTTATATACACAGGGAGAGTTGGAAAAAATCTGAAGCCTTTACAGCTGTGAAGCCATGTATACTGGTACCAGCCTCTCAGGTGCATATAAGCACTGCCTAGCCCTCAATGTGATTCCTGAGCTTGGTGTGTGATTGGCCCATCTTTGAATCCCTTCTTCCTTTTCTGCTTTTCTCTCATGTTCAATGTAGCTGTCTCCCGAGTTTTCAGAAAGGCCCCTTTCCCTGCTGTCTTCTGAAATAAATTACAGGCAGTCTCTGAGCTACAAACATCTGACTTAAAAATGACTGTAGTTAAGCATGAGGGTGAGACAACAGGAAGTGAGAGAAATCTACCCTTGAAAGGGAAATTCACTCCTGGAAGAGTTATTATCATGGGGGGAAAGGTGCCTCCACTGAAGCTTTATCACCAATCCATGTTTCCACAACAAGCCAGATTTTTCCAAATCAAATTATCACAGGGACAGAAAGTGAGATTAAATATTCTGAACAGGGACACAGGTAGTAAAAAAAAAACACCACGGGAGTGTTGACCCTTTCCTATGCTATCTGTCTATCAATCTATCTATCTGGCTGGAGTTACATCTGTTCTGACTTACATACAAATTCAGCTTAAGAACAAACCTACAGAACCTATCTTGCTGAAAACTTGGAGACTGCCTGACAGTACTGTGTGTTATGTTCCCTCCATTTATAATACTTTTTTTCTCCTGGGACAGTTAATGAATGAGGGGAAATCATCTGAAAAAGAAGTGAATGTGTATCTTAATGAATGAACTAATGAGTTTATTTCTAGCTCTGGGTTGTTGTAGCATTTAATTCACAGCAGATTTACCCAGCTCAAATATGTTCCTATATGCAGGTCTCATGGGTGTGAGGGGATTATAAAGGTGGTCCTATATGTGATTGAATGAAAAAGAAGTGAATGTGTATCTTAATGAATGAACTAATGAGTTTATTTCTAGCTCTGGGTTCTTGTAGCATTTAATTCACAGCAGATTTACCCAGCTCAAACATGTTCCTATATGCAGGTCTCATGGGTGTGAGGGGATTATAAAGGTGGTCCTATATGTGATTGAATGTTTCCACTTTAAACCTGATGTCTTCCAGTTGCAATGACACCCCCCTCTCTCTCTCACACACACACACCCAAAAATGTTTTTTGCAAACATTTAATTGTCACATTCTTTAGTGGGGGTGTGAGAAATTTCAGGAGAAAAGCATAGATTCAGAAAAATTCTGGCCATTAAAAGCTATTTTAGATTCACTGGCTTAACATAATGGGAATTTGCCAGGCTCAACCTGTTCAACTAGTTTTGTCCTCCTGAACTATAATCTTGTGTTTGTGTGTTTATAATTAGAAGAACCGGGCTGTAATAACACAGTTTTGAGGCTCCATTTCAGTGGAGGGTGAGTGCCTCTCTCTATTTATGCTGGGCCATTAGCTTTCAGACCTGCAAACCTGCAGACTAGAGTTCCTCCTCTGTGCAAAATCTTTTCAGTCCAAAGAATAGTTCTTGTTACGTACAGAATTGTCTAGGACTGCACATCACAGCTTGTTTAAATGAAAACTTTTTATTTGCAAGCTCAAAATCCCCCTTTATTTTGATTCCATGTCATTGACTTGAACTAAGGAGTGGAAAAGTTAACCAAGCTATAAAAGAACACTCTTGCTAGATGTAGCAACTTTGGCATATATATATTTAGTTACTAGTTTTCTATCTGAGTATAGTAAGGAGAGGGTGTTGGAAATATTGATGGGGGCAGAACATAAATCGAACAGCACTACACACACACTATGAAAAAGCATATCTCTGTCTCAAAGGCCTTACAAACTACAAAAAGTGGGTCAGGTACAAAAACTTTAAACTTTATGTTTATGTTATTAGTTACTACTATTATAAATCGGTCTTCAATTAGCAGTTGTTATATTTGTTTTTTTCAAAGCAACTCAAAATTTATTATATAGTTGCTTCTATTTATTTGCAAAACATCTGAATGCCACAGGCCACAAGTCTATACAAGGCACCAGCACAAAGGAACAGCAAAAGCCAGCATGTAAGCAATGTGATATTCTTCCTCCAACTTTCAGCCATGAAGTTAAAAGAGATTTAGTCATGACACATTTTGTGCATTTTTACTCTGTGTCAGTCTAGCAAATATTCATGGAATTGATAGATAATAAATAATACTTTGTTTTATTTAACATTCTCAATAAAACTATTTTTTTAAAAAAGACTGTCCAGCAGCTCCACTCCACTTTTCCTCTTTGTCTTCTTTCTAACTGGAAGTTTTCTAGCAGCATCAGCATTGTGAAGCAGGTCTGGAGAAACACAGACAATCAGGTTGTAGCAGCATTCTTCACAATAAACATTGCAATACAACTTGAAACAGGAAAGCATGGTTTATCTGACCTGGATATTTCATTTCATGTTAGTTATGAATGAAAAATTTATGGGAATATGTAAACTTCTCCTTCTCCCCCTTCCTTTTTTCCTCCTCCTTTTTCTCTCTGCCTTCCTACTCTTTGTAATTTCTTCTCTCTCCCTTCCATCTCCTCTTCCGCCTCCTCTTCTCTCTCCCTTCTTCCTTCTCTTCCTTCACTTGCTTGAGAGTGTGAAGGAAGGTGAGACCCCATATGCCTCACAGCCTTTCTTCAATGTAAGAACCACCAAACAATATGTGAGGCAAGGGAGGGGCTTTCTACTGGGCTCCCCCTCCCATCCGGGGGAGGGAGGGAGGTAGGAGGGGGCATTGCTTCCCCCACCCCATTCTAGTGGCTCAAAACACTTCCTTGGTCACAGTCATAATACAGTAGAGTCTCGCTTATTCAACAGGATGGCAGAACATTGGATAAGCGAAAATGTTGGATAATAAGGAAGGATTAAGGAAAAGCCTAGTAAATGTCAAATTACATTATGATTTTACAAATTAAGCACAAAACATCATGTTTTACAAGAAATCAACAGAAAAAGCAGTTCAATAAACAGTAACGTTATGTAGTAATTACTGTATTTATGAATTTAGCACCAAAACAGCTGTGGGTGCAGGCAGGAGACAGACTGCATTAGATGAGTGAAGATTGGATAAGCAAGACTGTACTGTATAATGTAGTTCAACATTGGAAAACAGACATAAGTGATATTTATACATTTATTTTTAACTAACTTATTTTGTTCACAGAGGGAACCCCTCAATATACAGCATCCAAATAAATGTCGTGAAAGCAACAGAACAGGTAAACTCTGACTCGTACTTGAATTTTCTTTCCTTTTGCTTTCCCCACTATGTGTTTTCTCAATATTGTTTTACATTTGAATTATCAATAGGAATGTGAAGGCTAGCCCTTTATTCTAATTTTCTATTAGAAAAAGGCTTTTTTTTAAAAAAAAGTGGATATTTTAATCAAATAAAACAAAGATAATATGCAAGCGCCACATTCTTTTCAAGGTTGGTGATATTTCTTACTTTCAGCTGTGATGTCTTCATCCAACTTACAATCAGGAAACATATATTGAGCAGGATGATAATGCTGTATTGCAAAAATTGATATGGTTAAAAAAGAATGAAATGATAATGAGCAGGAGCAGGAGCAGAAAAATACATGAAAAGAGTCTTAATTTTATAGCATCAAGGATACTAATTAGGGGTGTGCAAATCAGGAAAACCCTGTGCCATTTTTAATGCCTGTTTTTGCCCCCCCCCCCCAATTCCATTTTTAGGGAACTTCCTAAATTTGTGTGGAGTTTCTGTTTTTGTGCTGGAAAAATTTGGTCCATTGGCACCAATTGGGAAACTTTAGAAGCACTTTTTCTGTCATTTTTAGGCATGAAACCTCCCTCACTTGTAAGCCACATTTGCAACTACAAACCTGCCAAGTTACAGAACTTTTAACCAATCCATTAATTTTTGGGAAATTGTAAAATTTGTTACCATAATATTTATTTATTTATTTATTAAAAAACAAACGCAAGAGGGGGTTTTGGGAACTAAAGTCCAAATTGAACACCATAAGAAAGGAGGGGAATGCACACAGTCAGCCAGGCCTCTGATTGACTGGGAAAGAAAGTGAGAAACACACACAGAGAGAAACGTCAACTCCCATTGTGCCCTGGGAAGGAACACAGCCTCCTTCAATGCCTGTGCCACACAAAGTCCTGCTCAGAAAGTGAGTTCCCATTTCCCTCAAGCAGACACTGAGAGACAGGGGCCTTTGGGAAGGGATAGAAAAGGCTGCCAGGAAGAAAGAAGAGGGGAATCTGTAGCTTGCCTGATTTTTGAGGCTGCCCAGACCACATGCTGCCTCCATTTCAGGTAGAGTACCACTCAGCCCCTTTAGCCCCCATTAGCTGAAAAGATTCAGCTTTCATGATCAGTACCAGCTAAGGCTTCTGCTGCCCCCTGCCAGGTTTGTTTTCATGCATTCGGCAGAATCCAGGGCACCAAATCACCAAAATCCTGGACACCAAATTGATATTTTGCACACCCCTAATACTGATCCACATCCCCAAAGGCTTTTTAGAATTTAGACAGGACCAGGCTTGTTTCAGTGCTCTACAATTACTCTATGCTTTTCTTGCAAACCTAATTCTGAAGATTACTTTGAACTCTATCAAAACAATAAAATTGTCTTCCCTCATCCATGGTCAGTGACTCCCCATGCTCATACTATGCCCTCAAACATGTCATAGATGAAAACCAGGATGTGTTGAGCATAGCAAAAGATACAGCACACAAGACAGGAGAGGCTGCAGCAGTTTGCTTTTCCCTCAACACATTGGCAAATGCAAGATTCTCACCCTGCTGGGTATTTGACTACAAATTAAGTTCACATAGTGCAATCAGTTTTAAGTTAGCTAGGGCAAAGGGGAAAAGTGAGAGAATGAGACCGAGAATGAGACCGAAAATGGGATATTTAAAAAAACAGATCACAAAATGGGATGATTAACTGGACTATCTCTGCTAGATCAAAACAGTACTTTCAGGAAGCTTGACAGCTGCTAGGGATAGGAGGACATAGGACCACATATGTTGGAATTCACATGTAGATAGATAAGTGTCCAGAATGTGCACTGGATTCAACTGTGATAATTCAGACTTATTATCATTTGTGAAAACATGGTCAGGTTCTTCTCCTTCTTTTAAAACATTATCAAATTAAGTATTTTCCCACTTCTGCTTTTCTAGAAGAAAGGGGGAATTGTAATCCGCCACCCCACTCCTCTTGGAAATGAAATACATTTCAAGTGTTCTCAGAATTAATTTGGCAGATGACATGCATTCAGAGACCAAACTTTGTAGACAAAAAAGAAAAAAAATCTGACCAAAGTTTTCCTCTACCCCCTTTATTATTCTTTTCTTTCCTTTTTAAAAAGTCTCTGTGACATCTGCTGGAAATACTACCAGCAAACAGATCATGTATTCCATTGCTTAGAAAGTTGCAATTAGGTTTTGCAGGTCTGAAAAATAAACTCTGGTCTAAACTGTGTTGTCATGGAACCAGTGGTCTGATTTCCAGTTGGATAAATATGGCTCCTGTGCTTATTCTGGTGAAACTGCTTTCTGGATATAATGGCTGTGATTTTTCAAAGACGAACTAAGGGATTTGGAGTGCCAGTTTCCATTCAAATAAATGGCAACTGAGCAATGAAGTTCCTTGAGATTTACTTGGAAATTTCAACCCTGATACAGGTTGTGAAGAAAAAGGGCAATTTGGACAGACTTATGGTTCGGTGTTGCCAAACTCTTTGATATGTATTAGAACTATATATAAATTTGATATCTATTTGTTCTGGCAACATAATGCATTCTAAAGGCACCAGTGCCCATTTGATTTTGGAAGCTGAGCAGGATCAGGTTTGGTACTACTTGAATGGGACACTCCCAATGAGTATCAGATGCTGAAGGCTATATTTTGGAGGCAAAATCTGGCAAAATCAAATTTGAGTAGTCCTTGCCTAACCAAAGTCCATGAAATGTATGGGGTCACCATAAGGCAACAGGTCACTTGAAAGTGTGTGTTTGCAAAAACGCTTACACGGCATAAGAGTGGTCATAAGAAGCCTTTCTCATGAGACAAACTATCTTATTGCCAAGTTGTTACTTGTATGCCAACCGCAGCTCTCCTGATATAGGGCAGGGCAGAAATAGAAAAACACAAAAAAGGACAATTAAAGAACCGAAACAAGTTTATGTTAGAACAGAAGAAATCAGCAGAGAAGACATTCTATAATAGTTTGAAAAGAAAGAAAAGAAAAACAGAAAGTAAATAGTTAGAGCAGAAAGGAAAATCGAAATTAAATCATAAGTGGACAGCAGAAATAAGCAGGATAAGGACAAGCAAAGAAAGAAGAACAGAAATATAGTTTCTAAGAAAAGAATTGTTTAATACGAACAGAAATAAAGGAGAAAGAGAACAACGGCCCAGCAGGGCAGAGAAAGCCAGGGCAGACCGAAGCAGTGGGAAGACAGGATAAAAGAAAGACAGGAAGATACAGAAGAAGAAAACAAGAAAGAGAACAAGAATTCTTCAATGCAAAACATAGTAGAAACAGGAAGAAAAAAGAAATATGAGAAAAGAATCCGAACTCTAGAAAATAAGAGACAGTGAGAAAGGGAAAAGAAAAGTAAGAAAACTAGTTTTAGTCTTTTGTTCCAGTCAGCAGAGCTTCTCCTGATATATAGCGGCAGGCCCACGCATGTGTCAGGGGCAGAAAAGAAAGAGGAAAAGGAACGAAGAAAATAGAAAACATAATAGTATTAATAAAATAAACAAAAATTTTCTAAACTATGACAAAGGAATTTGTTATTCATTTGTCCTCAAGAGTCACATTGTTTTCAGGAAAAAAAAATAAACATCATTTTTTAATTTTAATGCAAAATGTGCAAAAAAAAAACAACCCAAAAAAATAATGCAATACCTGGATTGTAATGTAACTGATTTCAGGGCCTGGGAGCGAGGCGATTTTTATCTTCGTTACATCGAACTTTTTAAAAGGAAAATTTTGTAATTATTTTAAATAACGAAACGCAAAAACCCCCCAAAAACGAATTGATTTTAGAAACAATTTTTTCCGTTGTTACCCAGGCCTAGTATTGATGGTTTGTACTTTGGAATATAGTGTTTGAAATGTTGTGTTTCAGTGCTCTTCTTTGGTAATTCATTCACATAAGGTGTCTTTTGGCTTCCACCTTACTAGCTGGCTTCAGCAAAGACAAACCCCTCACAGTAAAAAGGGTCAACATGCCTGAGATTGACACACTGTTTGATAACATTGCTGAGACTTTTAACAAGCAGCAAGGGGATTGCTTGGCTCTCTGGGAGGCCATTCAAGGACTGAAAAAAGTCTACAACTGCTCACCTGCAAGCTATCTTTCTGTATGCATGGAGAAGATACAGCAAGAACACAGTAAGTTGCAGGGAATGATACTGTAAAATATGGAGTGTAAATAGAAAAGTTTACATATATTAATCTAAGTTCATTTTATCACTGGTATTTATTTTACTTGTACCATATTCTGTTTCCATTTAAGTACCCAAGACAGCACAAATTATCATGAAATTTAACTGAAATCAATTATTTATTAGGTTAGAGATCAATTAAAAAGCAATCCAGCTATCTCATTTACACTAAAAACTTAACTGAAAGATGTAATGCGATAGCAAGAGGGGTATAGCAGTCATCAGAACAATCCTCTCTCGTTGTCCTCACCAAGCATGCCTGTAAGGATGGCAGGACCAAGAAAAAGGATACCCCATCTCAAATTTCTTATAGGTTAACTTAGAAAGGTAAGGAATTTTGGAGAATTTGGACTCTGAATGACTAGGTCTTTATAGGTCTTAAACAGCATTTTGATTTTTGCATCCATGAAATTTATGCAGAATTTATCCGAGAGAGTTTATTTGTTCCTCAGATGTTTAGCAGGTCCAAGGCTAAAACAGGAAGGTTCACTACCATATTTTTCATTTACACATTTTTCCTATATCCCATTAGACTATAGAGCAAAGATGAAGAACAAGCGTCCCGCTTGATGTCGTTGTGTCACAATTTCCCATCATAGCAGGGGTTTGGACTGGATGGCCCTTGTGGTCTCCTCCAAACTCTAAGATTCTCTGATTCTAACCCTACCAGGTAGTATGTTTAAAAACTAATCCCAATGGCATCACATAATAATAACATTTTGCTATTGCTCATGTAAAGTAATGCTTAACATTAACTCATATGCTTAACATTCACTCCAAACACTTCCATTAAAATAAATTCTTCATCAGATATAAAGCCAGCCTCTCCATAGAGCTCAAAGAAAAAAAGCACTCATCCATTAAACACTGTTTTTTCAGCATCACTTGCTATTTAATATATTTTGATGGTTGTTCCCATTAGATGTGAACATTTTTCATTTTTCTATTCCATTATATTAATGTTTGAGAACAGTGAAAGGCAGGAGTCAAGATAACAGATGATTTCTAAAGGGCAGATAAAGCCTTTGGTGACTAAAGCCCACTCCAAAGACATCACTGTATTTATAAGTCCAATACTTCTAGCGGAACAAGTTTACCAACCCAGATAGTTGAAACATGGGAATCACATGCATGGAAATTTCACTCCATGACTCCTTTTCAGGAAAATTGGTTGCATTAATTAAATCAGCTTTCAAGTTTGTACTTTGGTAAATTATCAAGATATGGAGGACTTCAGGCTTCCGTTTTTCATTGAATAGCACCTATTGCATTTCACATTGCAGTGTAACGCAGCATCCAGTGGGCCTGATAGTCTTACCCAGTTCTTTAGATTTTTGCCTTCCTGGGTTTTACCTCTTCAGCTAAATCCAATCCTTCCTGTGTAATACCAGCCTTCCAAACGGATGCCAAAAGTTCAACAATGCTTTCTTCAGAAAGAAGAGCTGAGCATTTGTGAAAACAACAATGAGACAGACAAGAGGGCAAAGTGAAATAAGATTACATCAGAATTTGTTAGAGAGACTTATCCAGTACTTGATAGTTTTGTACTGAATGAGCAATATGGGGCCAGGGCAAGGGGAAAGGAACCATGAGATTATGGGTCTAATTCATACTCTTCACGGGAGAGCTTGCCAGTGGGGCTATGCCAGGGATTTATTTCTTACACAAAATGGCACAGATAATCTTGGCTTAATATTGCCAACTAAGTGCATTATGTCTCTCTCCCACACAGACATATATGTCTGTGTACAACTGTGTCACTGATAAGTAAAGTGGAAGTAATCAGATTTCATGCCACTGTGATATCATTGCCATCTGACTGCTATTGGAACCTTTGTTGCTTCATGGATTTAACTTTCTTAGGACTAAGACAATTAAAGCCTTCTGTTTGGATTTGTGCCACTTTGAGTTTAATCACTGCCTTTTCTTTCAGGTGACTACAGTGTGCAGGTGCACATGGAAGGATACAGGTTTGGGCTGAATGTGGGGGATAAAGAAATCCCTGAGCAACTGAAGCAGGCTCAAGAGCAGGTGGGGGAGCTGAACCGTGCCACCATAGGCATCATCAGTTCACACACAAAACTCCAAGAAATGATCCACTCAGTGCTTCAAAGCCAGGACAAATTGCGAGAGAGAATAAAAGTAACAAACTCTGAGCACCTAGATTGGATCCGCCTTGAAGGAAACTTGACAGAAAATATTGAGAAAATCCGTCTGGCTGAACAGTTCTCAAAACAGTATAAAGAAGAAGCCAATGGTGTGCTCAGGGAAATGTCCAAGTCAGCTGGCTTGGCTTCCTAAGAAAGTGTTGAGAATGAACCTGTAATAGTTTGCATTTCCTACTACAGAGAAGGTTTAAAGTGTTTGGGTCAAAAAGACTTTGGGGTATAGTTCAACTGCACAAATTGTCCACAAAGTAAAACTGATCAAGAGATTTCTGGAAGAACAATCTCATATAACCACATGTCAGAAGATAATGTCACAAGGAAGTCTCACACAGCTATGGTCCTGTGAAACTGACAGTGAAAAAACAAACCTAAATGCCATTAAATTACAAATGGCTTCTAAGTGGCAAAATGCAGTGCTGTTGCCTCCAAATAGATGTCACTTTGCTTGTTCATGTCTGTGTTAATCATTTAGTTTTAAATCATGTTTGCCCCAGAACACAGTCAATAAGAAACTGCTAGAGTAGTGAAAGGACCCCCCCCCCTTTTTCTTTAAGGGGGAAAAGTCAATTTCCAAGTATTATGAAGGACTGCTGGGTCATTCTTGTTTTCAGTGCAGGCTTAGCATCTGGATTCTAGAAACTTACAAGGGCAAGGTATGCCAACCAAAGTGTTAGGCAACAAAGGAATACAATAGATACAGGCTTGGGACAAATGAAATAAGTAAAAATGTTCTTTCTGTTCCTGACATAATCAAGATCTCCAAGATATTCTTCAGAATCCAAAAGACAGAAAGCTTCATGCACTGCCTGCCTGCTTTGTGCTTACAGCAACTGTTAACTCTTACTTTTAAATATGCATGTATATGCAGATTTTCATCCTTTGCATTTTTGCACAGTCACAATCCATGACAAGCACAATAGTACCCAAGATGCCTCCATCTTCTTCTGATCATAAGGAAAATCCCTCTCTTCGAACTCTGATCTGTCTTTTAGGACAGGATACCAGCAACTAATAGCTTCCCCCATTGAAGGGGTGAATTTTTTCTTCCTACTTTTTCTAGTTCTCCTTCCCAAGCCATCTCCATCTTTATCCATCCATTTTTATTATTTGGTACTTGGAAAAACTTGGTTTCAAGAGAACCTTGAAGGGTAGCAATACTCTTTGACCCATCCCAGCTATTGTGTGATGTAAGCGAATGCATGTAGTAATCCATAATATTTAAGGAACAGTATTCAGGATTTCAATTTGTTAAAACAAACTTCTACATTACAAGAGACAACGAAAAGGCCACTTTTTATTCTCTGTCCTATGCAATTTGATATACAGTATTTACATTTCAATGTTTTTCTTTGTTTTCTCATTCTCCACAGTCCAAAAACTTTAGCCATGTCTGTTATCTACATTAATGTCTTTATCATTCACCATGATTATAAAGACCCCCTCACAGCATCATCTTTTTAATATTTTGACAAGTCTCTTTTACTCCTACCCAATCAATCTTGCATACCACTCCATCAGAGTTAAAAAAAAAGTTGCTTGTCTTATTTGAATGATGCCCATGTGCATACTGAGTGTATATTTGCAATAAACTTTATTCAACTATTCTATTATTTGCATTCAATCTTACTGAAAATTCTCCAGTTTAGAGGGATGAGTTTTACATCTGTTGCTTTTATCTGCTTGAGTAACCCAGTTCCTTTCTCTATGCACCATAACTCTAGGCTTAAAAAAATTGAGAACACATGTACTCTCTGTATATGCAAATATTACATATGTGGATGATGAAACACAGTAACAAGAAGCTGCAGCCCTGTAAAAGAATTGCCAAGCATGGTGTTAGCACCATTTGCTTGAGCTCACACACTCCAGTGAGGCTAACCAAGACCCAAAGAATCTGCCTATAGCAGTCAATCCCTAGGTATTTCTCACAAGTGAAATATAGGAGGATGACCTTTGTCTACTATTAGGAACTGAGTATCAGCTATACACTAAATGAGTGTTGGCATACTCAGAAGAAGTAATGTAGTGGGATGCACTCAGCTCTAATAGGAACATAAATGCTATTGAATCTTATCACTTAATTGCCACAGGAAATGTTGTTGTTGTTGTTGTTCATTCGTTCAGTCGTCTCCGACTCTTCGTGACCTCATGGACCAGCCCACGCCAGAGCCACAGGAAATAGAATATGGCAATTACAAAGCACTGTTCAGATGTAAGAAGGCATTCTGCTCCTGTACCATTTTTGCTGTATCGTTGCAGTACAGTAAAGGGTTGATGGCCTGTGTCTAGGGCGGTTTTTCAAGACCTGTCCAAACTCAGGCAGCAGACCATTTAGAGCAGCATTTCTCAACCTGGGGGATGGGACCCCTGGGGTGGGGTTGTGAAAACATTTCAGAGGGGGCGCCAAAGACCATCAGAAAACATATTTCTAATGGTCTTAGGAACCTCTTTAGCAGAGGATAGTTTTCCCCTCCCCATGAAATGGGGAGAGAGGAAAAACATTTGTCTGCCTCACACGAGGCAGGGAGGAGTTCGGAGGAACCCTCCAGAACATCCGGGGGGCGTGGCCTGAGAACGCAGGCCAGCCCCTCTCAGGCTCATTCCAGCCTGGAAGTTGGGGACGACGGACGTGCTGGACGAACGGATCCCGAAGATCCAGAAGAAGGAGGACGAAGAGGCACGTTAAGAAGGAGAAGAGGAGGAAGAGTAGAAGAAAGAAGGCCGAGGACGGCAGGAGGAAAAGAACAGAGTGGAGGACAATAAGAAGTATTAAAGGTCTGTTTGTGGGCCCGGGGGGTTGGGGGGTTTGTTTTCTCCCCCCCCCCGTTTTTTCTCCTCCTTGGGGGGAGCGCTGGACGGGGGATTTGGGCCCCGTACTGGCTTTTCTTTCCTCCCTCCCTCTCATCCCTCCTCCATCCCCCCCCTTCCCCCTTTTCTGTGGGGTGGGGGCTGGGACTGAGTCCGCCAGCGTGGCGCTGGCCTGAACGCTGAGCGCGGATTAGGGCGTGCGGGTCTCGGCGCTCCTTACTTTTTACCCCCCTTCCGGCGCCCCCTAAGCCCCGCTTCGACGTGCTGGCCGCACGTCGCGCCCGCAGCACGATAGGGGCCTCGTAGCCAATTCATCGAGGGTTGCGGGCGCGGCTGTGTGGGCGGCGCCGGCAGCGTGGTGCACATTCGTGCGCTTGTTTTCTCTTCGCCACGTGGCGGCGGCGGCAGATCTTGTGCAGGTCGGCCCGTTTGTGCGCGTGCGCGCCGCGGGCGAGTGGCTGAGCCCCTCCTCCTTTTGCTGGAGTCGGCTATTTGGCGCCAATGGTGGCGCTTGGCGGGAATGCGGCTGCCATGGCGAAAACGCGGCGCCATCTTGGGGTGGGCGTCGTCGCCATTTTGAGTTCAGCATATTTTATTTGTATAAAATAAAAAAAAAATAAAAAAAAAAAATAAAAAAAAAAAAAAGGGGAATATGTATATATGTGTGTGTGTATGTGTATATATGCGTGTGACTATATATTCATATAAATGGGAGTGGATCAATGGACCCATTGGCAGACCTTAACTGTTGGGTGCAGGTGAGCTCCTGATGTCAGCCCCAACTTGTTTTTGCCCAATATTAAGATTTAATGCAAATGTGAGTGGATCAATAGACCCAATTGCAGGCCTTAATTATGGGGTGCATGATAGCTCCTGATGTTGTTGCGCTGGGCCGAACGGGTCCAGGCCGCCGGGCGCGGGTTGGGGGAGTGTTGGTCTTCGGTCTCGGCGCTCCGCACCTTCTTACCTCCCTTCCGCCGCCCCCTCAGCCCCACTTCGAGGTGCGGGCGCACGTTCGCGCTCGCAACCCGGTAGGGGCCTCGTTGCCAATTTAGTGTGCGCTTGCGGGGGCGGCGGTGTGGGTGGCGGCTACAACGTGGTTCGCTTCGGAGCGCTTGTTTTCTCCCCGCCACGTGGCGTCGGCGGCGCATCTTGTACAGGCCRGCTCGYTCGCGTCGTGCACGTGCGCGCCGCGGGCGAGTGGCCGAGCCCCTCCTCCTTTTGCTGGAGTGTTGGCTGCGGCGAGCCTCGYTCAAGCAGGGCAGTGGAAGACTGGATTTCTTGGGCGGGAACGCGGTCGCCATCCTGATAAGATGGATAGCTATAGGCTGGAATGGGTCCCCCCCTTTTATAGCCGCCGAGCTGCATTTAAAGGCACTAGGCCTTTCGGCTATGGGCGCCAATGGAGCCGCTTGGYGGGAATGCGGCTGCCATGGTAAAAACGCGGCGCCATCTTGGGATGGGCGCCGCCGCCATTTTGAATTCGTCATATTTTATTTACRTAATAAATAAATAAAGAAATATATATTTAAAAAAAAAAAATTTATTACACGCATCTATGTGTGTATGTGTCTATATGTATATATATGTATATGTAGGTATATGTATGTGTGCGTTTCTATATATATATATATAGAGATTAAAAATTAATTAATTAAATATAGTCTTGATGGGAGCCTCAATGGTACATCTCACGCATCAAGACTTAAGGCGAATGTGAACAGACCAAGAGACCCAACTGCAGGCCTTAACTATTGGGTGCAGGTGAGCTCCTGAGGTCAGCCCCAACTTGTTGTTGCCCAATATCAAGATTTAATGCAAATGTGAGTGGATCAATAGGCTTAGCAATGGGCCTGGCTACTGGAGTGGGTGAGGAGCTCCTGATGTCAGCCCCAACTTTAAATAGCCTCTCAATGCGACGGCAGTTGGATGGGTGCTGCAGATTGGGATAATAAGATAGTGAAAGAAGCATGCATGACCCCAACCGCTGGTTGGGGCTTTGTAAAAATATGAGCTCTCAATTAAACTGATGTAATAACTAACATCGCAGGTGGTCTTGTTAGTGGGGCTGCAGGCAAATGGAAAAGATCAATATAATTTGCCATTGATTATGTGTGCTTCATGCTGGTTTCGTCACCCGACACCTGAGGTTCAATCCGCTCAGTGGTGTTCTATATTATTGACGCATTTACTGTTAATTTCATTTCAGGATGGCGCCAAGGAAGAATGTGGGCGGTCCCAAAGGAAAGGGACCTGCCAAGAAGACGTCGGCAAAACGTCCCCTCCCTCCCAACGAATCATCATCGGGGGAGGATGACGTTTCTGCTGAAGACTTAAATGCCTTGATGGCCAGAATGGAAAAATTTGAACGGGAGAGAGGGTTGTCAACAAGGGAGGCGGGGCCGCGCCCGGCACGACGGGCGAGCAGGAAGCTGATTTTTAAAAATCTTCTCTCCCGTATGTCTGTTTTAGAGGCCAGCTGTGCAGCGGTGAGGCGGGATGGAGAAGGGYCGGAACAACCAGAGCCCAGCCAWGAAGAACAGGGTCCCACTGCCCCGTTGGTTGGGCAACCTCAAGCGGCCCGGGGTCAGGCGGCGGCGGACCAGTTAGCACCATCAGCACTGACTGACGCTGCGCCGGCGATATCCCGGCCTCAGCTGGAGATTCCAGAAGTCCGGCCTGAGACGATTGCAACATCATCGGCCGCCGCCCCGGCTTATCCGGTCCGAGCATCTTCCTCGGCGGCACCGGCCGTTTCAGGGTCGGTGTCAGTGGGACAGCCTTCCGTACAAGACAGTGTTGTAGACGGGCCGTCGACATCATCAGGTAATAACAATACACTGGTCTGGCCTTGGGGCCCGAGCCAGGCGCAAAACACTACATCTACTCCTCTAAGTTCGACTATGGTGATAGCAGGACCTGTAGCCGCTAAGGCTGGTCCTGAAGCGCCCATAGTTGCCCCCATAACTTTAGAGATGGCTAGGTCAGGAGACGACAATCAGTATTGGGGAACTGATAAATGGGTTCTGCCTATAGTTGCCACGGCAGCTTCAGCCTCTTTGGGGGCTCATTTATCACAGAAAACCATTGATAAGATACTCAGGAACGACTACATAGATATTTTCTCCCTATATTTTAGGGAGTTAGAAAAAAAAGAGAAGGACGACATGGATGAGGAACGAAAAGAAAAAATGAAGAAAAGGCGGGTTGAGCCTACCAATCGTAATTTTAAGTACTATTAACTTTTCATACATTTCTCTCTTAGATTCCTTTTGGGGACAAAAAAAAAGCCCTCACCCCACCAACACTCAACAAAAAGTGTGTGTGTGGTTAAATGCCATCTGCACTGAAATGTTCAAAACATTTGTTCCTTTTGATAAAAATGCAAATCTGGAGAGCTGTTGTATGTTTATGATTGCCGCTTCCGTACAGAAGCCGCCACAAAGCCTAATAAGAGATGGGACCTCATCGACAGTCAATTGTGGATGGAGGTGATGAATACAACCAGGGCAGTTTCTGGTGAGAAGGCGGATAGTGGTCACACTATACAGAACGCCAAAGGGAGTCAGCCCTTTCGGCGGGGAAACCCAGCACAGCAGCCGCAAAGACAAAAAGGAATGTGCTGGGGATATGCGGCTCGCGGAGTTTGTGCACGCAAGGATTGCACATACCAGCACGCCTGTGCTGTATGCCAAGGGAACCACTCAACCAAGAGCTGTTACAGGGCAAAGCCAGCAAGGACTGGGCCAAGGGCCATCCAGTTCAACAAAAACAACCCAGGACAAGGAAATGTTCCAAAAGGGTCCCAGCCCAATCAGGGTGGGTCCGCTTAGTGGTTGGCTAGAAAGATACCCTGATAGAGCGGCAGCAGAATATCTGCTTGCTGGCTTTACAGAGGGCTTTAGGATCCCTGCCCTTGGGCCACGTTCCCCTTGTCTAGCAGCCAATTTAAAGTCGGTCAAAGGACTCGAATACATAGTTGAGCAAAAAATAAACAAAGAGGTTAAAGAAGGCAGAGTTTTGGGTCCATTTGTTGGACCCCCCACGCCTCAGTTTAGGGTTTCTCCTTTGGGAATAGTGCCCAAAAAAGCTATCGGTGAATACCGCCTCATTCATCATCTGTCTTACCCGAGAGGGGGATCGGTGAATGACGCCATTCCCGACGAACAATGTTCGGTTAGCTACACATCCTTTGACYCAGCGGTACGGTTAGTACGACAGTATGGGCCYGGAGCAGAGTTGGCGAAGTGTGATATTAAATCCGCTTTCAGGCTGCTCCCGGTGCATCCGGCTGATTTTGAATTGTTGGGATTCCGGTTTCAGGGCCTTTTTTACTGCGATCGGGCTTTGCCCATGGGATGCGCAATCTCTTGCGCCGCTTTTGAGACGTTCAGTACATTCCTGGAGTGGGCAATAAAAGAGAAATCGGGCCTCAGAGGAGTCGCACATTATCTCGACGACTTTCTTTTTGTAGGCAAGGGCGGATCAGGGGACTGTGGTGCCCTGCTGTGCGCTTTTCAGGAGCTAGCGGAGTGCCTAGGGGTACCTTTAGCTGAAGAAAAAACAGAAGGCCCCCTCACTGTTTTGACATTCCTGGGGATAGAGATTGACACAGTTAACCAATTTTCGAGGCTGCCGGAAGAAAAGATCTTGGCTTTGATTGACAGGATTAGTCAATTCTTGCCCCGGCGAAAGGCGACCTTAAGGGAATTCCAACAAATAATTGGTCACTTAAATTTCGCATGTAAAGTCATAGCACCCGGACGGGCCTTTCTGCGCAGTTTGTGTGATGCTGTCACGGGGGTAGCTTTGCCTCACTATCACATCAGGCTGACAAGTGAGATTAGGGCAGATTTGTTCGTGTGGCTGCAATTCCTGCACCAGTTTAACGGAATCTCGTTTTGGCGACAGGAATTGATGGTGAAGAATGCACTAGAAGTATCTTCAGACGCGGCTGGGTCAGTCGGATTTGGAGTGTACTTTAAAGGGCACTGGTGTGCAGAAAGGTGGCCAGACCATTGGCATACATTAGGAATAACAGCTGACTTAACCTTTTTGGAATTCTTTCCTATTTTAGTGGCAGTCACCCTCTGGGCCGGCATGTTTGCCAATTCCACGGTGCATTTTTGGTGCGATAATATGGCCACAGTGCAGGTCATTAACACACTGACATCTAAATCACACAGGGTCATGGGCGCCATTCGACAGTTTGTCTTACAATGTCTAAAATTTAACATATTGTTTCGGGCATTCCACATCGCGGGTCTCAATAACGCCTTGGCTGACGCTCTGTCTCGTTTTCAGATGGAGCGATTCAGGCAACTGGCACCCGACGCGGACGTGGACCCAGAGCGCATGCCGGACCATCTCTGGAAGGTTGGAGTGACGAGACGGCGTTAGGTATGAGTTTGGCTCTCGCACCCAGCTCCAGAAAATCATACATCAGGGCAGTCCAAGAATTTCTAGATTTTAGACAACAATATAACCTGCCGGGAGCCATGCCTGTCCCTTACGAGCAGCTGGCTCAGTTTTGTGTATACAATAAGAGGAGAGGCTTAGCACCCCAGTCCATTAGAGCGAAGTTATCAGCGCTCGCTTATTGGTTCAAGGCCCAGGGCCTTAGCGACCCCACTGATGACTTTAGGATACACAAATTCTTAACGGGATGGTCCAGGCAGCGCGGGCATCCCAGGGATGAACGGCAGCCAATGACACCCGCTATTATGAAAGGACTTAAACAGCTATGGCCCAGATTGTGCACCTCACTTTATGAGCAGGTTTTATTTCATGCCGCGGCTTTGACTGCGTTTTTTGGAGCTCTCCGGGTGAGTGAATTGGTAGCATTATCCAAGAGCGATACCTCACGCCGTGCATTGTTGATTTCCGACATTAAGGTTCTTCACGATAACATTGAAATCATTATCAGAGCTTCCAAAACTGACCAAGAATCTAAGGGCCAGGTGTTCAGGCTGCTAAAGTGCAGTGAGGAGGACCTTTGCCCCGTGAAGGCCATGACACAATTTACGGCGCTCAGGGGCAGTGAGAAAGGTTACCTTTTCTCCCATCAGGATGGCAAGCCGCTGACCAAGTACCAATTCTGGACCATCACAACTAAGGCGCTGGTCATGCTGGGATTGGGTCACCTTAAATTTGGGACCCACTCCTTTAGGATTGGTGCTGCCACAGCAGCAGCTGAGATGGGGTATGGCGATGATGAGATAAAAGCCATAGGTAGATGGAGGTCTGGCGCGTTCAGAGGCTACGTACGGTCAGTTTCATCCTAGATGTGGTTATCGTTGCAGGTCTCTCCAGGCTGGCACATAGAAGACGGGTCCTGGTCTGCGGACACAGTTATGTCTTTTGGGCAGGGAGAGAGGCCCTCAGGACTGCCTATGGCCAGCATTTGGGGCTCGCTTCCACGGCAGCGGTGGAATGGAGAGGAAGGAGAGGCCTGCGTTGGGACGGTTTGTGCCCCTTGTTGTTTAATGCCGGGAGTGTTTTGCCTCCCGATGTGTTGGTTATCCACCTCGGTGGTAACGATTTGGGCCTGTTAACAGGCAAAGCCCTCTTTTTACAAGCAAGGGCAGACATCCGTAAAATTTGGTGGACATGGCCCGGGGTGCACATCGTTTGGTCCGCTATCATACCTCGTCGCAGATGGCTCGGAGGAGGCGACGTGGGGAGGCTCGAAAAAGCCAGGAAGCGAGTGAACCGGGCCATGCGGATATTCATGATCCATCAGAGGGGTCATGTTATCTCACATCCAAATATCACACGGGATGATGAGAGGTTATATCGTAGTGATGGAGTGCACCTATCTGAATTGGGCAACCAACTATTTTTGCAATTTGCGGGAAGGTATTAGAAGGGTGTTAGAGGAATTGGTGGGGGATGGGGACGAAATAGACATTTGACCCCAATCCGTGGCATAAATAGAGAGGGAAATTCCTTTAGTCGGTGTGCACCTAGGGCACCCCTTTAAGGGGTGAAAGGCCGTTAAGTTAAACACTCGCCTCCAGTTTAAAGGGGGACGTGTAGTTAAATGGCCTTTAATTGGAAGGAGTCTCGATACAAGAGTTCTGGAAGAGACTCCTTATTCCTTTCCCTTGAGGGTAGTACGGTTTGATTACCGGAACCCAGGTGCTTCGCCCGGAAGTTGTTGTTATCGGGTAGAGACTCTACCTGGGTTAGGTTGCATCAGTTCCTTACACCCTTGAGTTAGTTCAGAACTTAAATAGGTAACGTTAAATAAAAGTTGCCCAATTTGAATCCAAACATTGTTGTTGTGTCTTTATTTCTGGTGTTACTTCGTGGGTTGGCGGACAATAGTTTTCCCCTCCCCATGAAATGGGGAGAGAGGAAAAACATTTGTCGGCCTCACACGAGGCAGGGAGGAGTTCGGTTGGAACCCTCCAGAACATCCGGGGGGCGTGGCCTGAGAACGCAGGCCAGCCCCTCTCAGGCTCATTCCAGCCTGGAAGTTGGCCCACCACTCCCGCCCATTAACAGTATATCTTGGTTGCCTGTGGAACCGGGTAGGAATTTTTTCCTCTTCTTGTTTCATGGGGGAGGTTTTTTGCCTACCCTATACTGTTTAGGGGCTAGATAGAGGAAGTGGGCTACGCATTAAGTAGGCCAGGCGTAAATAGATAGGGAAATTCCTTTAGTCGGTGTGCACCTAGGGCACCCCTTTAAGGGGTGAAAGGCCGTTAAGTTAAACACTCACCTCCAGTTTAAAGGGGGACGTGTAGTTAAATGGCCTTTAATTGGAAGGAGTCTCGATACAAGAGTTCTGGAAGAGACTCCTTATTCCTTTCCCTTGAGGGTAGTACGGTTTGATTACCGGAACCCAGGTGCTTCGCCCGGAAGTTGTTGTTATCGGGTAGAGACTCTACCTGGGTTAGGTTGCATCAGTTCCTTACACCCTTGAGTTAGTTCAGAACTTAAATAGGTAACGTTAAATAAAAGTTGCCCAATTTGAATCCAAACATTGTTGTTGTGTCTTTATTTCTGGTGTTACTTCGTGGGTTGGCGGACAACTGAAGATCTCTTCATCTGTCCTTCTCTTCCTTTTTGGAAACAGATGGCGAATCCTCCTACCAAAAGCCCTACTCCTGCTGTGATTGGCCTGCCTCTCAGCTGGCAGCTGGCCTGTCAGCCAAGGGAAGGGCTGTTTCTGAGACTCCAAGCAGGGAGGGGAGAGCAGGTGTGCTCAGCGCATGGCAACATGGTGAACAAGTGCGGGGTGAGGGAGAGCGTGCAAGGCTGGAGGGCGGCTCGCACTAGCAAGTCCCTTCAAGACATGGGGGTTCTGTGTGGGAAGTTTGGTCCAATTCTATCATTGGAGGGATTCAGAATGCTCTTTGACTGTAGATGAACTATAAATCACAGCAACTACAACTCCCAAATGTCAAGGTCTATTTTCCCCAAACTCCACAAGTGTTCACATTTGGGCATTATGAGTATTTGTGCCAAGTTTGGTTGAGTTCTATCTTTGTTTGAGTCCACAGTGCTCTCTGGATGAAAGTGAATTGCAACTCGACAACTCAAGGCCAATGCCCACCAAACCCTCCCGTTATTTTCTGTTGGTCATGGGAATTCTGTGTGCCAAGTTTAGGTAAATTCTATCTTTGGTGGAGTTCAGAATGCTCTTTGATTGTAGGTGAACTATACAACCCAGCAACCACAACTCCCAAATAACAAAATCAACCCCCCCCCCCACTACCATACCAGTGTTCAAATTTGGGTGTATCAGGTATTTGTGCCAAATTTGGTCCAGTGAATGAAAACTACATCCTGCATATCAGATATTTACATTACAATTCATAACAGTAGCAAAATGACAGTTATGAAGTAGCAAAAAAAAAATGATTGGGGGGCACCACAACATGAGGAATTGTATTAAGAATTAAGAAGGTTGAGAAAACATCGTAAGTTATTTTCAGAACCAGACAATCTAGACTTTTCTAAAGATTTCAGGTTTTTGACCAAATTCATGTCCCATTTTATTCCTTTCTGCACTTTCAGTTATACAGACTGATGAAACGTGTTAAAAATAATCTCAGTTTAGTTGTAGATAGATTTAACAAATCTGTCAATCTGGATTTTGCTCCATTTCTCATTTTCCCTTCCTTACATTCACTTTTATGTATCATGTTATATTTTTTAAAGTAATTATTTGAATTGGTGTGTGTGTGTGTGTGTGTGTGTGTGTGTGTGTTTGGCACATTTCTCTTTATATGCATGTGCAAGCAATGTTAATGCATTGCAAAATATTTTTGCTAATTTATATAATCACTTTTTATATTTTTCATGCAGTTTTTTAAAATGAAGAACCACCTCATAAAATGTAGAACGTGATAACTGTGTTTCAGTTCAGAGAAAGAGAATTAGATAAAGCAAGTAAAAGACATATTTTGAATATTCCACTTTTGAAGGAAGATTTCATTCTGTTTTTAGGCACAATAATATTCTGTATGTGCAATACTTTCCTTCCTTATATTTTTCTATGTTTATAAAATATCCTATATCTCTATTAATTTGGTTCAGGTCAGAATCAAAATAACTTTAGGCCCTAGAACATCCTGTACTTTTATATGAAAATATCTGGATATCTTACTAGTATTTTAAAGACCACTTGCCCTCTGGATCTCTATTTGGTCCAATTGGTCATCCTCCAGGCAATTCTTGTATTGCTATTTAAGAATGAATAGGAATCTTCCTCTTAGTTACTTAAACATGACTACTGCCCCTTTGCTTTCCTACCATGCAGAGCAGATATATTCTTGTATAACAGCTGTCCACCCAGAAGTTCACACAGGCCAGGAGCTTATTTCTTGGCAGGGCCATGAAGCCAAAACCCATAAAGTGCAGCAGGCTGGAGGTGTTTCCCATGCATACCGCCAAGAAGTGTAAGCATGTGACACAGCCCGCCTCTTCATTGTGACAGAGTGTTAAGTCTTCCAGAAAAAGAAATGTTTACGAGACTAGGAAAATAATAAAGGAGGAAGCTTTCAAGAACATGTTTCATGTATGCCAGCCTTTCATAGACATCTTAGAAGCCTTTAGATCTATTATCCCAAAAATGTGTCTCCCAGATAACTTTTTACCACCCTACATTAGATAGCTTAGCTACCTTGTGTAGCAGAAATGAATTAAGAACATGGACACCAAGTAATTTAAAAGGCAGCACATTCAGGCAGTTCCTTTGGAGAAAGTTCTATCCTGCACCTCAGTTTTTACTGTCGGTCTCCCAAAGAAACACTGGTAACTATAGTTCACTGATGGGATCTCTTATCAAAAATTTGAATATATAATCTGTATCACATTACAGTTGAACAGATATGTTTTTGTAGTGCAATATAGATATAACATCTGAGAAATGGTTGTCACACTTGGCACTGTCAAAACGTAAAAAGCTTGTGAGAAATAAATCCTCCATTTTCATATGGATTATTATCATCACCTTGGTTATGATTTAGCTGCTGGACAGATAGATACTTTTGCCTCTCTAGTGATATAGCCACCCAAAATGAGAAAAGCAGAGGGCCAGGCAGATAGTCTTATCTCACTAGAAATTTGTTTTTAAATCTTTTATCTATAATTTTTATTAAAGTGTGTATAGTGTTGTTAATTTGTTGTGAGCTGTCTTGAGGCCCATTATTTGGCAAAAGGTAGGATATAATTGGATAACATCATCACCATCATCCTTTCTAGTAAAACAAGACTCATTCACTGTAACTATCTTTAAAAGAGAGGGTAGGAAGCACATGGTCCTCCAATTGCAATTGGACTGCAATTTCCAATAGCTCTAGCTAGTTTAGTTAAATTGTGGCTTGCTTATTACCTCTACTTCAAACATTCTCTATCATGTGTCTTTTATTTTTCTCCTTTTCATGTAACTTCCTCCACCCCGCCGCCCCCCCCTCCACCAGTAGTTTTTTAGGGGTGGAGTGAGGGGACTGGTTGTTTTACAAGAAAAAAGCTCTTCTATTTATGTGTTCTACCACATTTGTTCTTTGTTTTTAAATCATTGCTTTAAATTGTTTTAATTCTCTAGAGAGTTTAATAATAATAAGAAGAACTTTATTTTATTTGTGTTTCCCACCTCCATCTCCTCGACGGGACTTGGGGCGGCTTTCATGGGGACAAGTCTGATCAACATAGTTAAAATATGACACATTAAAATTCATAAGACAGCCTCATAAAACAAAATAAATCAAACAACAGCATAACACAATATAAAAACAACCATCGAGTAAACAATCAGTAGCCCGAAGTAAAAAAAAAAAAACAGTTCTGGGCTTGGGCAGGTGGACAGATACAAATCAGTTGTGGAGACAAGGTTGATGGATAAAGTGCCAGTGCCAGATGACAAAAAAAAAAGGAATAGAGGGCAATATGAGGTGGAGCACTATATCTCTGGGCAGGGGACAGTAGTAAAGTGCAAGGACTGGATTTTGGGTCATAGCTGGGTCATTAACTATCAATGATCCATAGCTTGGGTCATTAATCCTATTTAATGATAATATTTCATGTATAGCTTGGATAGGTATATTTTTATTTGTATTTCTTTTCTGCATTTTGAGCTGCATTGAGTCTCCTCTTTGGTGGAAAAATGGGGTATAAATAAAGTAATAGAACAGAACAAGATGAAAGAAAAGAAAATGTTTATCTATTAACCAAAATCATTCATGTGTAACTTGTCTTAGAAGACCCAGTTATTCATTGTTGCCTGATGAATGATCTTAACGTGACAAGGAGAATGCCTTTCTAACTAGTACACTTCTACTCTGATCCCTTTAATGGTGAAAACCCAAGAAGTCAGTGGTGAAGATAGT